TCTGCGCCTGTTCCTAGCCCTCAGTCCCTTGTGATCCCAAAACCGCCAATACCCTCCCCCCCCCCTCCGCAGTGTCCATTGCCCTTGTATTTTTATGCAATGATTTTGAAGGTCTTTTTGTTTCCCAATGAATACGGCTGTTGCAGCAGCTAACTGACGACTTGAAGCTCACTGTGACGTATGTCTACTGGCCTTCTTGGTTTTAATATTTATGAAGACCATCGGCATCTTTTCTATACTGCATAGCTCAAGTGCCATAAGGTAAAGCATCAGATTGTAACATTCATGTCTAGGAAACAGAATCAAAAAACAACGTAGATGTTGTAGTCCTTTAGAGATTGGTATATCGCTCTGCTGCTGTAGAACGTACCTCTTTCCCCAGCCCAAGTGCAGTTTGCAGGTCTTAGCTCATCTTTTTTTGAAAATTTCTCGTTGAACACCCAGGGCAATCTGTCGATCGGATTTGTTGGTCAGTATCGTTTCATAGGATCTCTTATTTGTCGTTTCGCCGTACTCCAATGGACACTTGATTTTCAGTAAGAACGACAGCCTATTTTATTTCCGATAGTTTTTTTTCTTATTATATTCAAACGTTCCCCGTCGTATGGTCAGTCGGTCAGTTGTGTAGGTGGCAATCTCTATGTTTGTTTATATATTCCAACACACCGGCTTTTGTTTGAGCATTTCCCCAGTCACTTGTGCGGGTAAAAATCAAGAATAATCGGTCTCTAAGTAACGCAGATTTGTATACAAACGTTTTGTGCACGTATAGACATAAAGTAAGATATTCAAAAGTTAGCTCACATTCTGTTTAGTTAGAAATTATGCCATCATCGAGTACTTAGACTACAAGAGATGTGGTATTGTTGTGTCAAAGGTGCAGACTGTCTCCTGTCGGAAAACAACTTCGGCTTTCACTACTTCTTGAGGTCTCCTAATCACGCAGAAGACAAACTGGCGAACACATGCTGTTCCCGATAAGGAGATCTAATGTTCCTGCAGCATAAATAAATCTCGGGGTACCGAATTACATGAGAAGGCATACGAGGATACTCAGAAATATCGCTATAAGGGGCTGCAGATTCTCTTCCTTCAAGTGAATAATTTGTAAAAGACGCAATATTTCCACGAAAGAATTCTATAGAGATTAAATGACAAGCGTGAAGTGAAATCTTCAAGATACACTTCTGAGGCTCATCTGAGCGGCCGTGAGTGATAACAGTCACACCAGACTAGTAGGCGCGACAGGACAAACATTGACGGGCGGACCATTAGCGTGTGAGGAGGGATGCGGGCAGGGAATCATGCTGGGTTCTGAGCCGGGAGGGTAGGAGGGGGGGGGGAGAACAGTTACGGCTCCCCGTGTTGGAGGGGAGAGAGAATGGTAGGTTGACAGAACTGCCGGCGCCTGGATTAGCGGCCGCTAACGCGGCGTGGGGCTCGGCTTAGTGAGGTGTGATCTTAAGCTCTCATAATGGGCGTCTAGGTCAACGTGGCGGTTGATGCTGTCCGCGTTAGAGTGCCATGCCTCTAGGAATTCTCTCGCCCGTTTTGCGTTGGCCGTGGCGATGACCTCGGTGTTATCCCAATTAAAACGGTGGTCGCACTGGGGTGCGTGTGCAAAGACGAGGGACAGTGGATCACAGCGACGGATGGCTAGTTTGTGTTCATTAATTCGAATTCTTAGGCGTCGTCCTGTATGACCAACATATACGCAGGGACAATTGGCACACGGGATGCGATAGATGACGTTAGCCTGTTCCTCTTTGGGTATAGAATCCTTTACTCGAGTTAAGACTGTGCGCAGCGAGGATGCAGGCTTGTGGGAAACGCGAATACCGAATTGATTTAGCTGACAGGCGATCATTGCTGAGGTCCCCTGCATATAGAGCAGGGAGAAGAATTTCTGGGTTACCGTTTCTTTATCTGAGGAGGGGCCTCGAGGTTGTGCCTGCCGCCTGAGGCCGTTCTTCACAAAACTGATCGGGTATCCGTTAGATCGAAATAGCCGATATAGATAACCTAGTTCTTTCTTCAGCAGATCGTCAATGCTGCAATACCGGTAGGCCCGGTGGAAGAGAGTTCTGACGCAGTTTCTTTTGTGAGCCGCAGGGTGATTGCTTCCATAATTGAGGATGATCTCAGAATCAGACCCTTTTCTATGTACGCTGGTTGCGAGATTACCGTCGTCCAGCCTTTGTATTTTTACGTCCAGAAACGATAGACTGTCTCCTACTGCCTCTTTACGGGTAAATTGTATGGCCGGAAAGACATCATTCAGCCGTTGATGTAGCCGTTCGACTTCGCGGTTCTTTATTACGACACAGGTGTCGTCGACATAGCGGAGCCACATTTTGGGATTGAGAGTTTGAAAAACCTCATGTTCTAGTCGCTGTAGCACTAGTTCGGCGAGTAGACCGGATATTGGGGAGCCCATTGCACTTCCCTTCACCTGTTGGTAGTACTTATTGTCGAACTTACAATAGTTCTGAAGGCAGAGCTTGAGCAGTTCTATAACGTGCTGCGCTGGGATACCAACAGGATTGTCTTGTAACCGTTGGGCTACGCAGTCAATTGCCAAGTCGTGCGGTATAGAAGAAAATAAGGCAACGACATCAAAAGACAAGAGGCATTCATCAGTGCTTACATTGAGGCCGTCAATCCGGTTGAGGAATTCGTGGGAGCTGTTAATGCTGTGGCGAGATCCGTGAGTTAGCAGCTTCAGATGCTTGTACAGCCACTTGGCTAAATTGTAAGTTGGGGATCCGATGAGCGGTACTATAATCCTCAGTGGAGCACCAATTTTGTGAACCTTTGGGAGACCGTTCGCGTGTGAGATATGGGGATCACTGAGGGTCATAAACTTTGAGCCATCTGGACCTATGACTTTCAGACGAGCAAGCTTATTGACCTTTTTCTTGATGACTGCGGCTTGCTTTTTCGTTGGGTCTTCGGCGAGAGTGGTATAAGAATCCGTGTCACTGAAGATCATATTCGTCTTCTTGACGTAGTCAGCGGCGCATGATATAGGCAGAATGGCATTACCGTTGTGCGGCTGTTGGTTGGGCTCGAGAGAGAGTCCTTAAGGCACAACGGAACGAGTGAGTTCCGTAAGGACGATCGGTAAGCGCCCCCTACCATTGTATATTCCCGATCGAAACCGGCAAGGCAACGGGCTCGTGGCCCAGTGGTTAGAGGCGTTGACTTCTAAATAACAGGTCGCGAGTTGGAGCCTCGGGTGTTCCACACTTCGGGGTTGGGTATTGCTGGCTGACGACGGCTAATAAGCCAGAAATGGCCATTCCAGTCTCCCTTGTCTTTGTCGGTAATGCCATATATATATATATGGATAGCTGAGGTAGTGTGCATTCCGAGATAACATGATGAAGATAGAAGGCTCGTCGGAAAAATGGAGTTTTACTCGTAAATTTTCGAGCTGGTGACACCAACCCGTCGTCAGACGAAATAAACAGTGGAGAAAGTGAACTGGTCAGAATAAATTTGCTGGCGTGACAGGGCAGCCATTGACAGGCAAGCAACTAATGTGTGAATGGGGGTGGACAGATAATTAGGTTGGGATCCGTGGCGGGGGGGGGAAGGGGGAACTGTTGCGGCTCCCTGTGTTGGAGGGTAGGGGGGTGACGATTCAATGGAACTATGGGCAGTGGACTTAATGGTCGTCGATCCGGCATGCGGGCGGAGGTCAGTGAACCTAACGTAGAGGTGTTAGGGGTTGCAGTTGCGGTTCGCTGTGTCTGGGGATGTAATGGGGTGACGAAATAGTGCGATTCTACATGGCCCAGTGTGGATTAGCGGCTGTTGCTAGGTCGTGGGCGCAAGTCAGTGCGCCGGGCACGCAGACCTTCGTAATGAGCATCTAGATCGACATGGCGATTGATGCTTGTCGTGTTAGAGTGCCAGGCTTCGAGAAATTCACGAGCATGTTTGGTGTTCGCCATGGCAACAACTTCAGTTCCTTCCCAATTGAAGCGATGGTCACATTCAAGGGCGTGTGCAAACACGAGTGACAAAGGGTCACGTCGGCGGATGGCTAGTTTATGCTCGTTTATACGCGTCCCAAGTCGTCGGCCTGTATGACCAACATAGTCGCAAGAGCAGTTGGCGCACGGAATGCGGTAGATGACATTGATTTGCTGCTCTTTAGGTATAGGGTCTTTCACTCGCGATAGTGTTGCGCGCACAGACGACGCCGGCTTGTGGGCAATGAAGATGCCAAGCCGGTTTAGTTGTCGGGCGATCGCTTCGGAACTACCCTGCATGTAGGGTAGCGAGTAGAATTTACGATGTTATGGTCTCTCATTAGAACCAAATCCTTGTGGTTGTCTTTGATGCCTGAGACAATTTTTTACAAGGCTGACCGGGTATCCGTTGAGTCGGAATAACCGATACAGGAAAGTGAGTTCTTTCTTAAGTAGATCATCGCTGCTGCAGTACCGATAGGCCCGGTGGAAAAGGGTTCGGACACAGCTCCTTTTATGAGCCGCAGGGTGGTTGCTTTCATAATTAAGAATTACGTCAGCACTGGAGTCTTTTTGGTAGACGCTTGTTGCAAGGCCGGCATCACTTAGTGTTTGAATACTAACGTCTAGAAACGGGAGGATGTCTCCCGTTGCCTTTTCGCAAGTAAACTGGATAGCTGGGAAGACACTATTCAGACTCAGATGTAGTTGCTCAATTTCACAGGTCTTCATGATAACAGACGTATCATCTACGTATCGAAGCCACATTTTTGGTTTAAAGGTTCGCATAACTTCGTCTTCTAGTTGTTGTAGTACTAGTTCAGCTAGTAGACCTGATATTGGTGAGCCCATTGGTGTGCCCCTAACCTGTTGATACAACTTTCCATCGAATTGGCAGTAGTTCTTGAGACAGAGTCTAAGAAGTTTTGAAATGTGTTCTATCGGAATGTTGGTTGGATTATCTTGCAGGCGTCGGGTTACGCTCTCAATCGCCAGGTCATGTGGTATTGAGGAAAACAGGGCAACCATATCAAACGATAGAATACACACATCAGGACTTACTTTCAGGCCTTGGATCTTCTGAAGGAATGCCTGAGAGTTTTTGATGTTATATTGTGATCCATTGGTGAAGTGCTTCAGGTGCCTATATATATATATATACCATGACGGAGGGTGGTACCGATAAAGATAATTGAGACCAGAATATCAATTTCTGGCTTATAAGTCGTCGTCTGACATCTTTACCCGGCCCCAGGTTTTGGGAATCTGAGGTTCGAACCCGAATGCTTTTAGTTATTGAGCCACGTGCTCGTTGCCTTGTCGGTTGTGATCGGCAATATTAATCATGGTAGAAGCGCATTCGCCGTTTAAGTTACGGGACGCGATCATCTTGTTGTGCATTGGGAATCAATTTAGAGCCTTCACAGTGAGCCACAGAGCGACTAGAAGTATATGTAGATTTGGTAGAACAGACAAAGACAAGGAAGACCAGGTTGTCCACTTCCGGTTCATTAACCTTCGCCAACCAGTGGAATGTATAAGAAATGGAAACGGGTCACTGTCTCTGATGACGGATTCAAGCGAGAATCCGAAACGCCCGGCGAATAAAACCCTTGTCTCAGCGATCACTTCCACATCATATCACCTAGTTTCTGGAAATCGCATCTTCGCTTGTATCGACAGTGATATGTGTATACATACAGTACCTGTGCTAACTCATGAAATGTCACGAATTAACACAGGTTAACGCCTTTAACGCCAAATCGGTAAACACTACGGATCCCAAAGTCTGATAGCGGAAAATAAACGATGTGCCAAAGAAATAAAGCAAAGTTTGGTTAAGAAAATACTATTTACTGAGATAAAAAATGAAGATCTGTATTCAATATAATTCTTTGCAAATAAAAGCCGTTCTCTAATTAGTTTTCTACTTAAATATGGCTTAATCATGGCCTTCCGCCGCTGCAGTTCAAATTCCTTCATCCTTTTTCTAATGATGTTCATAGAAAACATCGGCAGATGTTCCCGCTGAATGGCCTCAATGGGCATGTAATGAAACTTTTTTAATGTACGACGAATAAAATCGTCGTCTTGCTTACTTGTGGACCGTTTTGGTCCCCCTATCTTATTTCTAGGAACAGTTTTATCATGAATAATGCGCCACAGAGTGACCTTGCTAATATTGAAAATACTAGCTAACGACTCACGCGGGATTCCTTCCGCCGCTAATTTTCGAATGCGCTGGAAGTCAACTTCGGATAAGTATTGTTTAGACATAGTTATCGTTTGGCGTGGCAGAGCAAAGTGACGGCATGTCGCGCGAACTCAATATATATTCGTTTACGACACGCATTTTCAGTCTGGTAAAACAATCCCACTGATAAACTTTTTTATTTCGCTATTTTGAAACATAAAACTTTACGAATTTGTAAAATAGAATTTTTAGATAAAGAATCGCACGTTATTTCCTGAACACAATGAGAAATAATTTATCTGCATTTCCCTGATTTTGTTGATATTGACATTTAATTTTTTCTTTTTGTTCGAAAGTTTATTAAAAAATTTCGTCCCTTTATTAATCTTCTTAAACAGATTAATAAGGTTACACAAAGAATTTCCATCCGAAAGCTTTAATAGCGTAGGAAACTGCTTGAATATCAGGAATCCTCCGATTTCGCCTTAATCCGGCCCGTTTTCTATTTAATATACAGA